AAGAAAAGGCAGTTATTCATACGACTCTGAAACAGAAATCTCACTCATGCACCTTTTGTGGCTCATTTATGTATTTTAGGTCAGATGATAGAAGAACTTTCTTTTACAAATTTGTATCAGTATAACACATTTTTCGCAACATTTTATTTTTGTACGTTAATGAAAAAAGGCTCAGTACTGCACTTTTTGTGCTTGTTTCTATTTGTAGATCAGATGATCTATCTATCAGATGTATCTTTCTACAGAACAACAGCTTGTTACCAACAGTGTGTGTGTGTATATATACAATTTATTTTTTCTACGAATAGCAAGTTTTTCGTACAAATTTTGGAAAGTAGCATCTAACGATTATGACTTTTGGGCTTGTTTCTGTTTTGAGTCCTGATAATAATACAACTATCTTTCTACCAAATGACAGATTGGTACCAATAGGGCTGGACAATAATTCAATATCAATATGTATCGCGATATATATTTTTTCAATAACGGTGATATGGTTTTTAAACACATTTCCGATATTTCGATATAGCCTACATTACCAGTGTTTCCCATACATTGATTTATTTGTGGCGTTTGACTTCATTGATGGCGTTCTTGGCAGTTTTTACGAGGCTTTTTAAAATAATGTTCATATCGATATCGGAATTATATCGTATCGACTGAAATTAAGAAATATATCATGATATAAATTTTTGCCATATCGTCCAGCCCTAGGTACCAACGAAGCATATCTGTACGACAATTTATTTTTCTACAATTTCTAAAGTTTTGTACAAATTTCAAACAGCTTTTAACACGTTTTTGTGCTTAATGGATGCAGAAACCCAGTATAGAGAGAAAACTTAACTTATAATTTGTTACTAAACACTCAAAACACAAGTGAGCCCTGGAAAAGTTTGGAATTTTACAGAATTCATGATTGTTTTTCTTTGGAAAGGTATAATTGGGAAAAAACATGTTGGTCCGGGCCCTGTATACCCGTTCGATTTCGCCTACACGGAAGAGACCAATTCTGTTCTGCAGGTGGGTCGGAATATCACCAAGATCAAGCTCCCTGTCCGGAAAATTCTTCCAAAGCCAGAAAGCAGAGAGGAGTGAGACGGAAGAGGAACGGCCGTTCTTTCTCTACGTGGCGTTCCATGATCCTCACCGTTGTGGCCATTCCCAGCCTCAGTATGGAGTGTTCTGTGAAAAGTTTGGGAATGGAGAGAGCGGAATGGGGAGAATTCCGGATTGGAAGCCGAAGTATTACTCTCCAGACCAGGTCAAGGTGAGCCTTACTAATAAGGAATAAATTTGAAAAGTCATTAGTTGAAGTTCCTAACCATCAGTATCTTCATATCTGACTAGGTACCATACTTTATCCCTGACACACCTGCAGCGAGGGCGGATATTGCGGCCCAATACACGACGGTCAGCCGGCTGGACCAAGGTTATATATTTTACACCATTCACAGTAATATTTAAAGATTTGCATGCATAGATCTTCACAAATTTTCTGTTTGATTTCGAAGGTATCGGCCTGGTTCTTCAAGAACTATGGGATGCGGGATTTGAAAATGACACTCTGGTGATCTATAGCTCGGATAACGGAATTCCATTTCCCAACGGTCGCACTAACCTGTACGGCTCAGGTATGAAGGAACCCATGCTGGTCTCCTCACCTGAACACCGGCAGCGTTGGGGACAGGTTAGCCAGGCTTACGTCAGTCTGCTAGGTAAGAGCCAATCAACAGCTTGATTACTTGACATCAGGAATGTGTAAATAAACAAATGTGCACAGCACAAAGTCTCTCATGGGCTTGAGTTGTACTGTAACTGCTTTTAACCACTAGATGGAGCTGTACACCTATGTTTAAGAAAACACTGCACCCTCATGCACTTGTTTCTGTGACAGGCCAGAGCACAGAAATACTATTACTGAATGGTAGATTTGTTTAAGAATACATCTGTATAATAATTATTTTTATCTGAATTTATTCGTACTACAATTTTTAAAAAATAGCCAGTTATTTGTATCACTCTGAAACACAAAATTTCACTCCTGCTGCTTTTGAAGCTCATTTATGTATTTTAGACAAAATGAGTCAACAACTGAGGCCAGAGTACAGAAATACTGTTACTGAATGGTAGATTTGTTTAAGAATACATCTGTATAATAATTATTTGTATCGGAATTTATTCGTACTACAATTTTTAAAAAATAGCCAGTTATTTGTATCACTCTGAAACACAAAATTTCACTCCTGCTGCTTTTGAAGCTCATTTATGTATTTTAGACAAAATGAGTCAACAACTCTCTCCTAAGCTACAAATTTAGGTCAATAAAAAAAAAAAACAATAATAATGTACAATAATTTCTTTTTGTATGATAATGAAATGCGCCATATTATTGCTGCACCTTTTTGTGCTTGCTTCTGTTTTTGAGTTTAGATGGTATACTATAACTATCTTTCTACCCAATGACAGATTGTTTTCAACGTAGTGTATGTGTACGACAATTTCCTTTTCTACTAATAGCATGTTTTTCGTACAGATTTGGGGAAATAGCTCTCACTATTACAACTTTTTGCTCTTGTTTTTGTCTTTTGAGTCCAGATAATCGTACAGCTATCTTTCTACTGAATGACATTGTTTCCAACGTAATTTATGCGAACGACTGATTATTTTTCTACGAATACAAGTTTATGTTCAAATTTAGAAAAATTGCATCTCACTATTACACCTTTTTGCACTCGTTTTTAAGTCTAGATAATAGTACAGATATATTTCTACCGTACAACAAATTGTTACCAATGCAGCATATGCGTATGACAATTATTTTCTGTTTGTACGAAACGCAAGATGTTCGTACTACATAAAAAAATGGCGTCCCTTATTAGTGCACATTTTTGCACTTGATTCTGTTTTCTATTTCTTTCTGTTTACCGACAGATTATTACCAATGTAACAACATTTTCTTTCTATTTGTACGAATCACAAGTTGTTCATACAATATTAAAAAATGCGTCCCTCACTATTGCACCGTTTCACACTTGATTCTATGTTTAAGGTCATATCTTTATATTCACACACAGATTATTGCCAGTGTAATGACATTTTCTATTTTTACCACTTGTGAGTTAATTGTATGACACTGTAAAACAGCATCTCTCACTTTTTTCCCAGACATCACTCCCACCATACTGGACTGGTTTTCTTTGCCGTATCCGTCGTACAGTCTCTCAGGGGGCCGTCCGATTGAGTTGACGGGTCGGTCTCTTCTCCCGGCCCTAATCCCAGAACCGTCCTGGGTCACCGTCTACGCCAGCCAGAGTCTCCATGAGGTCACTATGTTTTACCCAATGCGCACCATCCACCAGGGCCGCTACCGGCTCTTGCACAACATGCACTACCGCATGCCCTTCCCTATAGACCAGGACTTCTATGTGTCCCCTACCTTCCAGGATCTGTTAAACCGGACTCAGTCAGGCCAGCCCACAGGCTGGTTCAAGACTCTAAACGAGTATTACTACCGGGAGAGGTGGGAGCTGTTTGACATCCAGTCGGATCCGACGGAGAGGCGGAACCTAGCTGGTGATCCGGCCTACGCCCCGGTTTTGGAGAGCCTGAGGGATCAGCTGCTGAAGTGGCAGTGGCAAACGGAGGATCTGTGGGTGTGCGAGCCGGATGCGGTCCTCGAGACCAAGCCTGAACCGCAGTGCAGACTACTGTACAATGGACTATGAGTGCCTAAAACTTAAGAGGAAACTGTATAAACTTTTCATGCTTCAGGTTCACTGTTTAAAATGAGAACTGTAAGATTGTATTTGTAGTTTTTATATTGAAAATGTTAATAAACATTTTAACAACTAAAAGTTAACATTATCGCATCTCTTTTTTAAATCTCTTTTCTTTATATTATCTCTTCTTTATTTAAAAATATTTGATCATATTTGATTTGGCACTGGTGTGTTTTCATTACCATAGATTCCATATACATGTCCTCTGCTTTACTAGTTTCATTTGTCATAGATATTTATTTACTTAATCATTAATCAGTCATTTTAATACACTTTTATATACGTCATCTCAGATACCTGTTATTCTCAGAAACATTTCAAAATTTCATTTTTGTATTTAATTATTTTTATTATTAATAATGTCATGTCATCATATAATAAGAATATTTTAATGATAATAATAATAATAGTTATTATTATTATACACATATTGGCTTCTTGTCATCAGATATCTAGGGAACAACATTTCAAAATTATTTTTTTGTATTTTTGTATTAATAATAATAATCATAACAATATAATACAACATTGTTATCCTAAAATTTTTAATAATATTTAATAATAATAATTATATACATTACTATTTGGCTTCTTAAATGTCAACTCAGATACCTAAGGAACTAGATTTCAAAATAATATTTTTTGCATTTGATTGTTTTTCTGATTAACTCACAAGTTTGTTAAAGCTGTCTGAAATACTATATTGAAAGTGCTCTCTCATTTAAATTATTTAGAAATCTGTCAACGTGGTTAAACCGCGTCATGTTTACCCAAAGGTGTAACTATAGAGAAGTCAACAAGTCAATATTTTAAATCACTTATTAATGAGACTACATTTTCAGGTACTACGCACTTAGATTTCCTTTTCTTCTATTCTATAGCAATTATTTAAAAAATATTGGATACTGTTATTCTCTGGTTCATGCGTATGTGCGTCTTTACGCACGGGATTTTCTCTTTTCTAATTTGCGCTGTGACGCCAGAAAGACGTTTATTGATCAATATAGACAGGTTCGGTGACAGAGAAACAATATTAACCCATCACACATCACATCTACCTGACGTTAAAGGCTCCCCAGCCGTCTCCAAACGGGCAAAGACGCGCAAATCAATCCTATTGGCCGGAAATATGAATCATCTAGTGGGGAATGACGAACGAGATCACGACTCCGAGGGGTCTATATAAACTCCAGATGTGGAGAACATCAATCCAAAAGCTACGAGGCATCACAGATCACAACACACGCGTTTAGGTGAAGTGCGCAATGGAGAGGTCCGTCAGATCCGTGCTGGTGTTCGTGGCTGTTTCCATCCTCATCTCGAGCCATCCTACAGACGCCTGGTACAAGCAGTCCACCGGGCCGAGCTACTATTCCGTCGGGAGAGCCTCGGGTTTGCTGTCCGGGATCTCTATATATGTTTGAATGTACATGAATACACATTAACAATAGGCCTATAAAAGCATTAAAAAAAAGTTTTTCCTTCATGTTTCCACGATTCATAAATTCTGTTACAGATGAAAAGGTTAAAACATTAAAACCCATATAACTGTATAATTTGGTTGCTTTCTACATCCTTTGAAATCATGAAATGATAACTATATAGCAGGGACAAAAATTGGCATATATAGCCTATATATATATATATATATATATATATATCTCAAAAGAAAAATAGGGCCAATTCAAGCACAGAAAAAGCTCATTATATTGAAGAATTTTACATTAAAACTGTATTTGAGTCAGATTAAATGTAGACAATATGATCTTTTTTATTTCTGATTTTGTTTTCTTTATTTTGAAAAAAAAAAACATATTTATGAACGACGTAAACGTCAATTCAGGCATCAGTCAGAATCATAACTTCCATTAACGTTTACCGTGCCGTTTCCCCCTCAGGCCATCTGCGTAAAGGACGTTTCTCCAAACCTACAGAGCTGCGAGCTGGTTGAGGACGGTTCGAGCACATTTCGGTGCAAAGCAGACGTGTTTCTCTCGCTCGATTCGCTGGACTGCTTCTCCTCCTGAGCGGAACCCGTCTCTCTCCCTCCCGACCCGAACATCTCTTCCATTTCAGGAGTATTTACAGCCAAGGCAGGGAGGCGCGCTGTTGACATTGAATGTTTACTTGATTTACACCAGGGATGTTCAGCGCTGCTCCTGAAGATATGCTTTCCTGCAAAGTTTAGTTCTGTATCAATAATAATCATTTTCATTCTGATTGATATTGTAAATCCATCCAACTTATTGAGGTCTGTGAATGTGCGAGACTTTCCATTCATTAGTCGCTATAGGTAAATACCAGGAACGGCCCGGGAAGAATAAAAAAAAGTGCAGTAAACGGTAAAAACGTTTTGCGATACAAACCCATATGTTTATAATTACGATACTGCATTAAAATAATATGATAAGATATGCAAGTTTTCAATATCAAGCAGCATAACTAGCTGTTGTACCGCTAAAAAATAACCGGAAATTGCCGCGGCCACTCATACGTAGGTTATAAATAAGTTTGAAACGGTTTTGCGATATACAAAAACTCAAGTGAAATTGGGCATCAATAGGCCTACATTAACATGTACAGTAAAGAGATTGATATTAGTTTAGTGTATTGGAAATGCTATAAGTGAAGTCAAACCGAATTCAAGTCACTTCCAGTGTGAACACACTTAGTTTCAGCTATATTTTGCAGGAAAACAGATCTCGGAGAGCCGTTTTGAGCAACTCTGGATCACACAATGTGAAGTTAGCAACTTTAAATTTATAAATGGAAAAATACAAAATCCACAGAAACAAAATGGTGGTATTTTCTGTTCAATCTGTTCTCCTCTGCGTCCAACCAGTCTCCTGTACCTAGACTTTCAGCTGTATTAAATGTTCATAAAAAGATTTCACTGTTATGAGCAAAAACTTTCAAATATGTTTTCTTTATTTTATTAAACTTGAAAGATATACCATTCATTCTGTGTACGCTTGTGTTGTGCATTTGCGCTGACGTGATTTGTTTTATACCGTTCATTGTGTGAGAAATCAGCACAAAACAAAATATCAAACACATTAATGTTAGTTTTTAATGATGTTTCTATTCACAGTGGCTTTTTTGCATTCACAAAAGTGTAACTAGAATTTAACTTGAATACTTTTAAAAAGTGGCGCAATATACAGCATTTAAATAGCAAAAATACATTTTATATCAACCAAATCTCAATGAATAAACGGATAAAGCAACATTATTTCAAATGTATTTACAAAAAAAAAAAAACTTGCTACAGGTATGATTATGCTTCATATAGACTTCATAGTGTGTAATTTGTGCGTTTGGCTCACCTTGGTACAACAAATCCTTTTCAGATTGAATCACCAAAACTCAACAACTATTAAAAGTGCTGGATCACAAATAAGTCAAAAGCAAAACATGATTCATAATGCAAAAAAAACTCAAAAACAACACACTGGACTCTTTCTGAACTGACAGGGTGTTCAATCTCTGAACGGACCGTGTTGAGCAAAGATGTACACAAGGGGAAAAGATTTTATAAGTGATGATTAACCATGGTAATGCACACACAGGAAGTGGGGGATGTCAGGTGGAAAATTATGGGATGCTCGGACGAGCAACTCAACCACCGCCAAGAGAGCATGATTTACTCTTTAAATCCATTTTATATACTTTCACAGTGTAAAATATGCATATGCAAAAATATGTAAGATTATTGCATTTTATTAGATATTTTGTCATTTTGTTAGTTTGTGTTTAAGTAAGAAGAATATAAACCGGCATTTATTTGGTTATTGCGTCATGAAAAGTGTGTAGTCACTCCATTCTGATTAATATCAGAGCATCATATATAATAAATTCCATCAGCATTGTGAATGGCTCCTCCGTGAGTCTTTATTGAGTTTTTAAAGGAGGCATGGTTCTCAGAGCAGAGACACGGCCTCCAGGTTCTCCTTGATGATGGTGTCCATGACGACCTGGAAAACTACCTGTACGTTGGAGGTGTCGGTCGCTGTGGTGAAGTGGTGGTAGATGAGTTTGCTGGGTGTCGTGTTGAGAGACACAAACATTGCGGCGATGAACCGGGCGGCAGCATCCACGTCACAGTCAGCTCCTGTGAACAATATCACAGGGAGATGTTTGTGAAAAAAAGTGTCTTGTGCTCACCAAATGCATTTATTTAAACAAAAATATAGTGAAAACATTAAAATATTATTACAATTTAAATTAATGGTTTTCTATTTGAATATATTGTAACATGTAATTTATTCCTGTGATGCAAAGCTGAATTTTCAGCATTATTTCTCCAGTCTTTAGTGTCACATGATCCTTCAGAAATACTTCTGATATGCTGATTTGCTGCTCCAGAAACATTTATTATTATTATCAATGTTGAAAATGTTTTTGCTGCTTAATATTTTCTGAAAACTGTGATACATTTTTACTCCGGATTCTTTGATGAATAGGAAGTTCAAAAGTTCAACAGCATTTATTTGAAGTAGAAATATTTTGTAACATTATAAATGCCTTTACTGTCACTTTTGATCAATTTAATGTGTTCATGCTGAATAAAAGTAATAATTTATATTTATTATATATTAATAATATTACCGTTTGGATATATAAAATATTTATGTAAAAATATTATATTATATATTAAACCTATTATGTAAAAATTATAGGTTGTACTATCTTGCAGATAGTATGCATTACAATTAATGCATTATATATATACTTCAGAGAAGGTGAAATATAAATATTTTCCTTTGCATGGGTGTAAAAGTAATTCTCCAAGGAATATATAAGCTATAAATCAGTTTCAAAACGTATATCAACATGAATCCAGTTCAATAACAACTGGTTTGCAAAACAAAACAGGAGACTGCCACAAAAACATATGAATTTCTCAATGATGAATTATGCATTAAAAGGAAACCCTGTATCCGAGAGAAGAAAGGCGAAGTGAAAGTAATTGACGTTTTCTCCATTAAAAAAAAAAAGCTAACCAAAAAAAATGAAGTGAGAGTCTATGAATATCTGACGAGATCTGCTCCAAACTGCAAGATTGATGAATGGGATTCATCTCTAAATTTTCAATGCTAAATTGACATTTGCATGATGCATGTACAGTACTTCTGGGTCTATCTGAATTAACAGGTGAAATGTAGTTGTGAAAAGGTTTTATTGTAATCTTCTATGAAGTGGGATTAACTTTGTCATATACAAGTGTCAGGGAGGCAGCGGGAAGGAGGGGAGAGCGAAGACAATGTCATGCAAGAAATTTCCAGCCTCAGCCGTCTTGACCTTTTCTCCCTGAGGCAAAAACTACAGGATCCATTCCAGCTGATTAAACGGCCAAACTACAAACCCAAGCCGACATGGTGGATTCAGTCTTAATGGAAGGACAGTGCTACAGGACGAAAGGACGAAAGAAAAGACAAAAGGATGAAAGAAAGAAAGAAAGAAAGAAGCAAACAAATGAAAGTGAACAAACATAAGAATACAAACAACTAAAATAAAGAAATAGCATATAAATGAATAAAACAAACAAGAGAGAAGAGAAAAGGGAATGAAAAAAGCAAATGAACAAACAAATGAAAGAAGAAAATCAAGGAAAATGGACAAATAAATGACAAAGATACAAACAAACAAAAAAGAAAGAACTAACAGAAGGAAAATAAACAAGTGACTAGAAGAAAAACAAACAATTAAAAAATAATGAACGAACAAGAAAGAATAAACTGGAAAAAAGAAAATGAACAAACAAAATAGAAAAGAAAAATTAAAGGACTGAATGAACGAAAGAACAAATGAAAAAGAGAAAGAATAAACAAATGAATGAAAAAAAACAAGAACAAAAAAAACAAATGAATGAAAAAGAAAGAACAAACAAACAAATAAAAAAGAACAAAAAGAAATAAATGATTAAAAGAAAAACACATAACTGAAAAAGAATAAACAAATGAACTGGGAACAAAAAGAGAATGAAACAAACAAAAGAACACACAGAGAGAGAATGAACAACAAAAGAGAATGAACAAAAACAAATTACCAAAAGAGAAAGAATTAATAAACAAGAACAAACAAAAGAATGAACTAAGAAAAGAAAAAGACAACTTAAATAGAATGAACAAACAAACAAACAATGAAAGAATAAACTGGGAAAATAAGATGAACTAACGAAGGACAATGCACAAAAGAGAAGAAATGAATGAGCAAAACAAGAACAAAGGAATGAACGAAAGAAACAAACAAATGAAATCAAGAACAAACAATTGAATGAAAGAAAAAAGGAAAAGAACAAATAAAAGTAGATGAATGAACCACACAAATGCTAAAAATGAATGGAAGTCAAACGAATGAAAGAACAAAAAGAAACAAGCAAACAAAAGAAAGTGAACTATCAAATGAATGAAACAAACTAAATCAGAGAACAAACCAATAAAAGAAAGAATGCATTTGGGAGCAGTAGAAGATAGAAATGCTTGCCAATCCTGAGCTTTAATAAAGGACATGAACGAACAAATATAACTTTGCGAGCAGCTGAAGTAAATAATAAATAACTTTCTTTCAGAGAAAGTAAACATGATTCATGTGTAATCATAGATCCGTCTCTCACCTCTGAACTGGGGAAGGTAATGCCGCAGATGACGCCCGGAGTGGAGAATCTTCTCTTGGAAAAGATCAATCTTGTTCATGAATAATATCTGCAAAACAAGAAGAGAGACTTACACGCCACGCTGGGCAAAACCCATCAATCAGTAGCTCTGTAAAATCAGTCATTTAGGACTAGAATTGATTAGTCAATTACAAAAGCTATAGAAAGTCTCCAAGAAGTAAGTTGTGTGTGTGGTTACAATGACCAACTCGACAAAAAGAGATTATAAAAGGAATAGTTTGACCAAAAATTTTAATTTACTGAAGATGTAGATGAGTTTGTTTCTATATCAGAACAGAGTTGGAGAAATGTAGCATTGCATCACTTGCTCACCAATGGATCCTCTGCAGTGAATAGGTGCCATCAGAATGAGAGTCCAAACATAAAAACATCACAATAATCCACACCACTCCAGTCCATCAGTTAATGTCTTGTGAAGAAAAAAGCTGTGTGTTTGCTGTTTGGACTCTCATTCTGACGGCACCCATTCACTGCAGAGGATCCATTGGTCAGCAAGTGATGTGATGCTAAATTTCTCCAAATCTGAATAAAGAAACAAACTCAGCTACATCTTGGATGGCTACATTTTCAGCAAATGTTCATTTATGGATGAACTCTTCCTTTTATACTTCAGTGTCCACAAAAGATGACAGAAAGAGAGAGAAAAAAAACGGCGAGTTCGGCTCAGTATAATGGCCTAATTAACAACTTAGTCCAGTGATGATTTTGCCCAGCGTTTCAAAACAACACAGTATGACTAACGTGGCTATAAAACGCATCTTAACAAGGGCAATTAGCGCACCTCATTACACGGAAAGAGGTTTACGGAGGGCGTACAATAAATAGACAGACAACAAGCAGACCACCGTCACCCACATGGACAACCTAAATTATGCCTGCTAGTTTAATTATCAAACGACATGGGCAATTATAACGGAGTCTGGGCTAACTGATGACGTGGGCTGTAATTACGAGAAGTCTGGAGGCGAGGTTACCAAAGCAAGCTACGATGAATGAAACCACAAAGAGTGCCGTCTAAACGAGTGTAGACTCTTTCATCAGGTGACTGCAAAACCATGAGTCGTAAAACTGAGTTTATAACGAGATGGAGGTCCAGAACTTGAGAAGAACTCATTGATACTGGTCAAACCGGTGACGTAAAGTTAATGTCAATGTAAAAACGACTTTGGTAACAGTGTATTTTAGAGCAAAACTGTAGAGAAAACTAGCCTATGAGAGGATGGGGGGGAGGGGCTAAAAATGAGAGGACTTGATGATGTCAGCAGAAATGGAAAGTCATTTCAGAGGCAAATTATCATCACAAAAGATTACTCGTTTATTTTTATTACACTCTATATATTTTTTAATAGTTTTCAGTAAATGCAAACGTACTTAAACTTGATAAATAAAATAAACTAAAATGAAAATATTTTGCAAGGCACACTTAAAAACAAAACTTGTGCATGTGTGCTCAAATGACCTTTTTTTGGTCACATATGTTGGGCGTTTCGCGTCGTCTCTTGATCGACGACACTGACCTCCTCTTGAGCTAAAGGGACGATGAGATTGGATGAGCTCTCTCGGTTAATTGAACCGTTTCTTACCATAGAAGTACTTCTGAAGAAGATGTTATTGCAGATTGACGAGAACAGCTTGAGGCTCTCCTGCAGTCGATTCTAAACAAGAGCATATATACACACACACACACACACACACACACTAATACATAATTTACTTATTGTTTTTTAATACTAGCATACCGTTTTAACATCTAAAAACTAGTTTTCAGTTTTAAATAACTCCTTGGTGATCTTGATTCCTGAGGCCTTCATTTGTTTGTTCAGGAACATTAACTGAAGTAGGTGAATGCAAAAGTAACTGTTTTCGCACCATAGATGGATCTTCTACTAGCGTCATGTCGTATCCACTCAGAGCCACGACGAACAGCACGGCCCTCACATCCTCAAAACAGCTGATCCACTTCCTCCTCTCTGTCCTCTGGCCTCCAACATCATACAATCTGTGGAGAGAAAGACACAAAATGTCCTCGAATGGAAAAGAAACACCTCAGTATCATTAGTCAACACAAAACCAATTTAGCTTAGGTATTACATCAAGTTACAAAAGTACAGTGGATTTTGAACATCATTTCATGTTGACTTTTACCAACAGCGTCACATATGCTAATATGCTGCTAACTGCTAGCGACACACATCCGCACATGTGAAAAACAGACCAACGGGCTCTTGATGTCATCAAACAAGCGTCTCAAATTAACAATCTCCACCAAATTCCCCCTCACTGTGTTTTAGATCCCAACACTAAAAGAGTTAGCTTTTTAGCTAGCAGTTAGCAAAGAGGCATCAAAACAAAACAACATCTCAAAACATGACATGTTTCATTATATATTTCTCCACTTCATGTCTTTTTTTTTTTAAACTAAAAAGAGTGGGAAAATGGCGTGCGTTTCTTCTCAGAGCTTTTTTTTGGTTTCCTAAACACAGAAGTCTCTCTCATTCTCTCTCTCTCATATTTATTTTCAATCTTCCACTTTATCCTGTGCCATCTCTTCACTATATTTGTGGGAAAGATTCCCCCACACGTCTGAAATGAAAACTATCAATACACACACTTCAAACATGATGGAAAAATAAATCTATATGTGCCTTACGGGACACTAATACATGAGGGTTTCCCATAAAAAAATCAGACAAATTAACTGAATCATGAACATAGCTGATGCTGACACTATGATATTAACTGCTACATTAGTTTTCATGTACAATAAACTGCAGGTAAAAGGATCATGTTTAACGGGAAAAATGTGTGACCATTTTAATTAAAAATAGAAAGCATACTTATTTTTAATGAAATATGAAACACACTAACAAAATGTATTATATTTATACTCACTTTTATACATTGCTACATTTATACTCAGAATTTACATGCACACTGTACACTCACAATTCATTACCATTTAAAAATAGATATATTTAAATTTAAAACGATTTCTTTAGAATTTACTTTTATGTTTAGATTTATATATAAATGTTTTATAATTAGGCTATATAAAGGAAAATATTTATAAATCTGAATTCCAATTTACTTCAAATCTATATCTGTAATAATGCAATATAATATCATATAAATTGCGCAATTGAAATATATCTAAACATTTATATAATGAATAAATCGTTGTAAATCTAAATATAAAGATGTATCTATATAGCATTTTATTGACTATTCAGCTGCAACAGGAAATTTAAACAAGAAAAAAAATAAATAAATCAAACCAGTGTTTCTTCCTGTTGTTTTCTGGTTTGTCACGGGTTTTTCCAACAGCACAAAGGGTTAATAATGGCTTTGTTTAATTATGGGATGATCTGATGTGGCCACATAATCAAGGTGAGACAAGGTGAGAATCGTGCGGTGTTAAACACACTGATCAAGACGCAAGTAATTTCACTGATCATTACACTGTTAATTACAGCTCACATGTCAAGGGTGACCCGGAGCCACCTGATATTTAGATTTCGGCTGCAGCGAGGAAATTATTTTGGAGATTTCATTAAACTCTCGTGAAAAAACAGTGAAATCACTTCCTGTCCAACAAACCTATAACACCATGTTGTTCCTACTTATGTCCAATTAAGAAAATAGCTATACAATAATTATTGCATATAATAATCAGTGGAAGAAAATACTTTTTAATGTAATTAATTACTCTTTTATGGTTGACAAGCTAAATGCAAGTTATTTTGTTAATAAGAAAATTAGGAACATTTGGCCACTTGAATAAAGCATCAAGACTGAAAATGAAATTAAGTGCAAAACCGTTATCAAAAATTAATCATGCAAATTACTATTTAAAATAGTATTATATTTACATATGGACATAAGAAAAACTCTTTTTAGATAACTATAACAAATTTAATGAATGCAAATTTTGCAATATAAAATAAAAATGAAGCATATATCCACAAAAATTCATAAAAATGCATAAATAAATATAGGCATAAAAATGCATTAAAATGCATAAATCATGCATAAATAAACAATTAAATAAATATGATTTTTAATGTTGATAAGTTAAATGTAAGTTATTTGGAATTAGTCAAATTAGGGGTATTTGACCACACAAATATAGCATCAAGTTAAAAAAAAACAAATAAAGTGCAAAACTGTTTGCAAAAATGAATAATGCAAATTATTTAAAACGGTACTATAGCATTTACATATGGCCATGAGAAACAGTATTTTATTGTCTTTGTCTATTGCATTTTTAGATATAGTAAATAAAATGAATGCAGCAATACAATAAAAATGAATTAAAAGCATTAATAAACCCATAAATGCATAATAAAAATGCATAAATAAGTAAATAAATAAATACATAAATAAATAAACAAACGTTCGATTTAAAAAATGAATAATTGTGGCAGGCAAAGGCACATATGCAGCAGCTATGGGTGTTCATATCAGAAGTGAGGTGTGAATCCAGTGATATGATAAAGATCATGAGGTTTCAGCATGGGACGCGTGTGAAGCGCTGCGATAAGGACAAGCAGTCGAGCGTGCAGAAGATTGACACTAAGTTATTCCAGACCGAATTCATTCACTCTAGAGCTCATGAGGAACTAAACAGATTTCATATAACAATTACTCCACATAACATCAGCTTTAGAGTTCACTGCTTATAATGAACATAAAGGACTTAATCATAGTGGGGCGCCCTTATTTTCTTAATTCCACTCTGATTTCAGTGTTTATGGGATTTATTGCTCATATTTATACTCTATAGGACAATTTAACTTAAAAACCCAACAAAGAAAACAGATTAACAATTTTTTTCAGACGGAAAAATTGACGTTTTTAAAGACCAAACTGTGAAGAGGACTAAATGGATTGGCATCCAACTGGGTGTTTCAAACATCCCTACATCCCACAAACAGTTTCATCTTGTTTTGATTTTATGATGTTGTAGAAGCTCTTTTATTAAAAACTGTCATGAAAGCCGTGGAAATTTAGATTTAGCATTATGTTAAGTAATGCAATATAAATATTATTGCAGAAGCCTTCAACTGAAGCCAATAAATTAGCCAACTCTCAGGGCAGAAAGAGCCCAAGAGAAGCAAACGAAAAAGTATAGACAAAGACAGTTGCTTTCCACCAAATGCCAAAACGCTTATCTTTCCATGCCATATCAAACAGTTGACGGCATCACATAGCTGTAAATGTCTCCATTAACATTCAAATGGCTGGTAAAACCTGCCAGGCAGAAAATTACTCACATTTCCCATGAAACCTCCCAATCGTTTTATTGGTAGTCCAATGTTTGCACAAAATTAAACTTGAGAGGACAATGAACACACATGAAACTTTTCCATTCTAACATTTTGAGGATCAAATGTCATTGTGACTGACTAAAGCAAACAGCTGGGATTTATGATTAAACTGTGCATCAAGCAAATGTTAACTAAAACTAAAACCATAAAAAAATGCCATTACTTGACATAAAATAAACATCAACTGAAAAAATAAAGCATACAAAAATAACATTTATTATTTTTGTTTAGATTAAGTTGAAGTACTAAAATAAAACGAAATAAACTAAAACAAAAAAAAACAACTAAAATTTAAATAAATGAAATGTAAACTATATAAGAACACAAGATAGAAAATTAACAAAAATTAAATTAAAATAAAAACTATATAGACATTTGAAAAAAACTAATAAAAATGTCAAAAACACAACAAAATTACTAAAACTTTAAATGAAAATGAAAACAGAAAAAATCAATGAAAGTATATCAATGATACTAAAATAACACGGGTTCAAATTAAACAAACAATTAGCATATACCTTTAAAAGTTGTTTGTCCACTGACCTCCTCTTGAGCTAAAGGGACGATGAGATTGGATGAGCTCTCTCGGTTAATTGAACCGTTTCTTACCATAGAAGTACTTCTGAAGAAGATGTTATTGCAGATTGACGAGAACAGCTTGAGGCTCTCCTGCAGTCGATTCTAAACAAGAGCACAAAATGAAAAACAAGAGCTGTCATTCCCATGAGATCCCATGATGCTCTCCTCTGTCACGTAAGAGAGGAGTCTGAAAAGCTGAGGTCAGTGCATGTGAATAATCTGTTTGTTGTATTAACACTTGGATTAACATTAAGTTAAAAAAATGTTTTGCGTTAATACATTTTAATTTTATAATATTACATTAGGACATTAAATAAATACTGTAAAATAATCAAATAAAACGTTCTATTGAGCATTAATACGTATTTTTATGTTACTATATTTTTTCAAAAAAACTAAACATCTTTTAATTTTTTACACAATGAAAATGAAAACAGAAAAAATCAATGAAAGTATATCAATGATACTAAAATAACACGGGTTCAAATTAAACAAACAATTAGCATATACCTTTAAAAGTTGTTTGTCGACATATTTAAGCTCAGACTCGACAAGACGTCGAAAAAAACTCAGACGAATTCAAACAAGTCTTGCACCCAAATCAAAGCTGAACTTGTGCTCAATGCTGATAATGCCAGTTAGGATATTGACGAATGGAGCGATGCTTCAGAACATCATGCAAGCTGACGTTTCAGAACATAGTGAGAGATGGAGGATGAGGATGTTGACATGGTCAATATCATGAAATCGTGAGGTTATGAGAAGGAAACCCCCTCAATTTTTACTCAGTTGCTATAGCTACTTTTAGACAAACATCAACTGAAAACGCTTGAACTGAGAAACTGAAAAAGCTTTATGTTGGATGATTCACAGACATATTTTTCTACAACTTCTTGTAACAACAGTTGCGACAAACTGACAATAAAGAGACTGTTTACCTGAAGACCAGGTGTTTGACTTTGAACTGTGTCTCGATCACTCCCGTGGTTCTCAGTCGGACTCTTAAAATGTCCGTTTCTGTCGGCATGTAATTGGGAGCGATGACCCTGCCCATGTTCTCGAAAAAACTGGGAACAGAGAGACATATAGATAAACAAATTTTACAACAAAAAGTACAGTAATGACACATTTCGAAGTTCTGTCTGGAATCTCTTTTCCACCCAAATGGACCTGGTTCTTGGCCAGAAGTTCTGTGAACAAATCTCATAAGCCTATAATTATTGTCCCGTTATGGCCGATAACCAATACATGGCCGATACAAAGTTTCAGGTTTCATATTCATTAGTAATTCATATAATTAACTTTGGTTTTAGTGAATTTAGTACTTAACAATAACAACACTGGTCTCAATAAATTAAAAATCAATGAATAAAAAATTAATATAAGTAAATAAATTAATCCTACAATTGAATTTAGGCATCACAGTATTCAAATGTACAGAAAAAAAAAGTTTTTAAAGATTAACTTTAAGTGTGTTAGATGACAGCAAATGTTATCAAAATGTAAAAACAGGGGAAATAAATTAAATATCCAACACACATACACAACCTGCCAATAAAAATAAAAAAAACACTATAATATCGGCAGATAATCGGTATGGTACCGATATATAGTGCTTTCACACAACCTAGTTTGTTTTGTGTTAGTGACACCAGACTTAGTTCTTGCTGCATTGAAACCTTACAAGTTATTATCCTGCCCCTTAGCGGTTCCTGGTTTGATACCAGCAGGTTTTAGGGAACAACTTCAGCTTCAGCAACGTCTTGGTAAAAAAGGGGCTTGGGTGCAAACACGGCTCTTCACCTCTTATAATCGGGTCTCTGTGGGAAAAGCCCTCTCCTTAAGGGCAGTCTTTCATTGTCTAGGTAAGCAGCTTTACCTCTGACTGCAGTTAGCGTCTGCGGTGATGATAAGACTGGCCCGGGGGAAACACGCGTTGTATGCTAATTACCAGCATGAATGTAAATACAGAATGATACAGTATAAGCAAATCTGTGGGGGGATTTCTGTACGCGGATGTGCTAAAGAGAGGGATTATCCTGAGTGCGCGCTATGTAGCGATACACACACCTCGCAGGAGATCGCAAACACCCTGAAGAGAGAATTAGACAAACAAACACGTAAACACAGTTTTGAAGCAATAACCTCAGACAACTGTGCCACAGTTTTTGATTAAGATTGTTCGAGGCATCTTTTCCTGCACTGATAAGACCATTTTATATAACGTTTTTCGTTTATATAACGTGTGAATATATCCCCTATCGTATTCTACAACAAAAACAATCAGAGCGCCTTGTTATCACTAGTTTTATTTTGATTTCCCGAGTCCGCTATTAGCAAATAGCCCGCTAGCATCGCCAGCGTGGTTGCCGCTAACCTCGCTTACATTACAAATACTCTATTCACACACATTACCATTGTTTTACTCACTGTTACTTGCTTTAATGACGGATGTGTGTCTACCTTTGAGTGCAGGTGAGGACACGTTCAAGCTGCATTCGGTGCAGCTCGAGCTGAAGGGGAAACGAGTAACAGGTGCGCAATTAGTGGAGCACACAGCGCTGCGAGTTAGCGCTGATAATTTCTAATTTCTGCCTGGAATTGAACTGCTGGTTTTGTCTGGTCAGAGGAGAACTGGCCCCCCGACTGAGCTTGGTTTCTCCCAAGGTTTTTTCTCCATTCTGTCACCGATGGAGTTTTGGTTCCTTGCCGCTGTCGCCTCTGGCTTGCTTAGTTGGGGACACTTCATTTCTAGCGATATCGTTGACTTGATTGCAAATATACTATTTAAACTGAACTGAGCTGGATGATGACATCACTGAATTCAATGATGAACTGTCTTTAACTGGAAAATTAGTGTTTACTATTGTCATTTTGCATTATTGACACACTATTTTCCTAATTAATGCTGTTCAGTTGCTTTGACACAATCTGTATTGTTAAAAGCGCTATTTACTGAAAGGTGACTTGACTTTTATCATTCAGTCCATGCAAACAGAAGACCATGTTTTACTATATGCTAGCACATCACAGCTTGACGTACACACTGTTGCGTGCTGAAATGTACGCGTTGCATTCACACTGTTGCTGCAAGGGACACTATAGCATCATTAGCACAAACTTTTATCATCTAAGGGCAATGAATCCCTGTCATATTTTAATATTTAGCATTGCAGCTTCAATGCTGTTAGCAGTCCACAAACAAAAAAGCCCTTTGAACTAAATTCTAATAGCTTGTGGCTAGCAAGAGTGGCTAACTAGTTTAAAAAAAAGAAAGAAAAAAAGACTAGCTTAAATGACAAGTAGCTTCTTGCTAGCAAGCTGAAGTTTCAAAGTGGTTTACCCAACATGGCTAATGTCATGCTAGAGCACTGGTTTGAAGAGAATTGTGCTGAAGTTAGCTAAAATGTAGTCCTTTAGCTAGCTACATTGACTAGGTTCATGTTGTCAATTAAATTCAGCTCAAGTGAACTACTTTTTGTTAGTAGCTTGTTGAGTGGCTAACTACCTCCTGAAAAGAGTGTAAATGACAATTAGCTTACAGCTAGGCAGGCTAAAGTTTTAAAGTAGTTTACCTAACATGGCTAATGTCATGCTAAAGCACTGGTTTGAAGAGATTCTTGTTAAGAAAGTTGAAGTTGGCTGCTGTCGCCCTTTCTATAGCTAGCTATTGACTATGTTCATGTTTTCAACTAAATTTAGCTTAAGTTAGCTACTTTTTGTTAGTAGCTTGTAGAGTGGCTAACTACTTTTTCAAAAGAGTACTAACTTGACTGCAGTTTAAGTAACTTTCACAGCAAAATTCTCTCAACTTGTTTCCGCAACGCTGCTAAACAAGTTTCTCATCATTTAAAGTAATTAACTGTTGACATGCAAGCTACTTAACTGTAACACATGGTGTAATGACAGATATTTGAAGGAAACTCTTTTGCATAAGTGAATACGGAAACATATGTGCTGTATTCACACATTCACAACTTTATAGCAAGAAGTGCTAGCAGGCGTTAGCGTGAACTGTTACTATCAAACGTATGTATCGTTAAACCAATGGTGCTATTATTCAGTTTAGTTGCTTGTTAACTTTAACAAACATGCTTTAGCAGGATTATTTTCAGACTGTTGCTCCACCATAACAGTAGGTGGCAACATTTTTAATTTGTGTTTAGATTTTTATCTAATATATTATTTTATTTCAGCTTTATTTCAATTAACAACAACATTTTACAATAATTTTAGCTTTAGTTAATAACAATACCACTGTCAAGTACTAAGATTGTAACTGCCAAAGTGAACTAAGAACTCACTCTGCATAGTGTTTCTGGTTTTAGTGACAGCTAAACAGACACATCCCATCCTCAGTGCCAATGCGATTCCTTGGCATTCCAGCAGAGTCTGATCTTGTAAACCCCCTGGGCGGCATGTCTGCGGACACCTCAGGCCTGAGAGGAGACTGAGCACACAAGTGTGAGGTGTGTTTCCTTAAACGCGTCTGGGTGTATAAGACAGACATACCGTTACGTGCATCAGGATGCAACATTCACTCACTGCTGGCCTTCAATTCCCAGCAGGACCCAAAGGCCCTGTCGCTGTGGATCTGTCTAACCCTCTAACGCTCCTTAGGGAAAGGCAAAGGCTAATTTTACCAGCTGTAGACTCCAGAAATGGTCTTTTTTATCTAGCCCCTACAAGAAAAAAAACAGCTAAAACCAGTTCTGATGGTTTTTAACTGGCCTAGGCTGATCATTAAAGGAATAGTTCACCCAAAAATGAAAATTTGCTGAAAATCTACTCACCCTCAGGCCATCCAAGATGTGTTTCATCATCAGAACAGATTTGGAGATATTTACCATTACATCACTTGTTCACCAATGGATCCTCTGCAGTGAATGGGTGCCGTCAGAATGAGAGTCCAAACAGCTGATAAAAACATCACAATAATCCACAAGTAATCCATAATATAAGTAATCTATATAATTGATAGACTGGAGTGGTGTGGATTACTTGTGGATTATTGTGATGTTTTTATCAGCTGTTTGGACTCTCATTCTGACGGCACCCATTCACTGCAGAGGATCCATTGGTGAGCAAGTGATGTAATGCTACATTTCTCCAAATCTGTTCCCATGAAAAAACAAACTCATCTACATCTTGAATGGCCTGAGGGTGTGTACATTTTCAGCAAATTTTAATTTTTAGGTAAACTATTCATTTAAGGTTATTAGGAGATAATTTTGTAGACCACCAATCTCACTGTATGCTGTATGGACAAGAGCAGCATGAACATTCTACATCTCTTCTTTTGCGTCCTACAGAAGAAAAACATCTTAAGGGTAATTTTTAGATGATCTGTTCTCCTTTCCAAAGCTGGTTTGACCTGGTTTCTCCATCAGTGTGACATTTTAAAGTATTTTCAGCATTTGAAAACCTCTTCTGGAGTTTTGTAGATATACTTTAACTCTCGGATTGATTTGACACCACTTTGACCTTTCACCAAACACCCTTCTCTCTAAAGTATCTTTTCTCCTCACTCCATTTCTGATCTATTTTTCCACACAATTGAATTTTCGCCGGTCAGAGTTTTAGGGTGGTGGTTTTTGCGGAGAATTTAGAATAGCGAGGGAGGGCAAATGAGAATGGATGAAAGGCTAAATGAAAAGAGATTTCACAAGATGCATGCAGGATATGAACAGGTGAGGAGCTGTGACCTGGCCTGCAGACGACGGGAATGCCCTCTGATAAATCTGACCTTTAACAAGAGAATATGTGTGTTTCTCGTGTTTGTGTGTGAGGATGGGTGATGGAGCCCTGCAGGTGTGACATGACAGCTTGGGAGGAAAGGTTTTTAAACCTGGAGAGCGAGAGATACGGTATGACCCAGACATTGAGAAATGACATTTTAGTCCAAATCTCTATGCTAAAACAGCACTGCACCACATTTAATTAAGTCACTGTCATTCTTTTCAGCCTCCTTTTTATGCAAATCAGGCTTATTATAAAATAAAGTGAAATTTTAGTACTTTTTCATGCAAAATTCTTCATTATGTGTTATGTGTGTCCGCTTTAAACACTCTTCAAACCTCAACTCAAATCAGTGCCATGGTGATAATTTAGTCGCTCCCGGTGACAAGCATGTTATTGAATCCATATTACTGACTGAAGTGTCTAGAGGGGCCCCTTGGCCCCGGGGGCCAACGGGGGGGCAGGAGTACCTGTCAATCACACACACACACACACTTACTTTACCATAATTTTATTTATATATATATATATATATATATATATATATATCAACTGGCAAAGGCTGTAGGCTTTGAGGTTTGACTGTTTTCTAATTGCCGTTTATGAGTTACCACACACACACACCTCGCTGTGGAGTTTGAGGTTCATTCGCTGTGGCACACACCACACGCCTGCGACACGGGTGACCCTCTCTGCTTCATTTAAATAATCAGCCTCCTGGTGTTTTAGTTTGCCATCACACACACGTAATTACACAATTCACTGTTGAATATCCCACTAATCAGCCATTATTCACAGTGGGAGTGTCAGATTGAGTCACAGATCAGCGGCCATTATGGCTCAAGAGTGGCAGTCGCACATTAGTTCCATTAAACCTATGGCTCAAGAGTGGCAGGCACACATTAGTTCCATTACACCTACATAGAGGCTAAGGAAACTGCATCAGGAAGCATCGGGAAAACCTGGGCGAGAGTGATAGAAAATCGATAAATCATTGAATAACGATAAAACCTTCAGGATCAAGTCTTCCGGAGATAAATGCTGGTCAATAACTGAAAATGAATGACGTAATCTGTGCTAAGGATCTTTAATACATTCAGAATAATATAAAATGAATATTTCGAGAAATTGTTTTTCTTAAAATTGTCTGTAAATTTCCTTGCTGCATGTGAAATGTTTACCGAACATGAGAAAGATTCAGAGGTCAGCCCCCGTGTCAAACCACCAATTAGATCAGAATAAAACATTCATGACCTTTTCCAGATCATGATTGGCCTATTTGAGCTTAATGCATTCAAATCAGATGCAAAGCATTTCGAAGACCCATTCTGGAGTTTGGTCTGAATTCTCTTTGCTCAAGGTCTGATCAAAAGGTAATGTGTTATTGTGTTATAAGCTAGTTAAAAGAGCTTTTCTTAACCACCAAACACAGAACGCTAACTGAAAACACTGTAGCCTAACTGACAAAAAAAGGCTAACTAAGAGGCTAACTAAAAAAAAAAAAAAGTGAGGCTAACTGGAAAAAAAGATGCTATACTGAAAACAGGAAAGCTAAATGAAAAAAACAAACAAAAAAACAGGATAGCTGAAAAAAAAAAAACGTGGCTAACAGAAAACATAGAAGGCAATGTAAATAATTTAATTACATCAGTTTCTATAATTTATAATCAAAATCAACTAGCCCATAGATTGCCTGAACAACTTCCTGACTAGCTAATCTTAAAGGGGTCATATGATGCGATTTCAATTTTTCCTTTCTCTTTGAAGTGTTACAAGCTCTTGGTGCATAAAGAAGATCTGTAAAGTTGCAAACACTAAAGTCTCAAATCCAAAGAGATATTCTTTTTAAAAGTTAAGATTCAGCCACACCTACCTAAAACGGCTTGTTCTAACACGCCCCCACATATCTACATCACTGTGTGGGAAGATTTGCATAACACCGCCCAAATGTTCACGCAAAGAAAGAAGGCGTAACTTTTATTCTCGCTGTAGTATTGTTGCTGCCGCCATGTCATGAAGGCGCTGTGTGTTTCGTTGTGAAAGCGAAACTACTTTGTTTGGTCTTCCAAAAGAGGACGATATCCGCTTCGTCATGCTTAGAGCTGATCTGTGCTGGTCGCTGAGGAAATACATCAACTTCGTGCTGTGGATCGCCGGATCGGCTTTCACCGTGGACGAAGCGGAGTGTTTTAAGTCATTTAAGTATAATGACTTAAAACACAGTATAAGTCATTATAATCAGTAATTATGTCCCCACTGGATGCAACAAATGCCTCGTTTGTAATGGGTTTTATTGGTTTTGTCTCGCCGTGCCGGGAGACGGCATCAGAGTGTGTTAAGAGGCGTAACATTTCCGTCACACGCTTCAGGTATTCAGCCAATCACAATGCACTGGATAGCTGGCCAATCAGAGCACACCTCGCTTTTCAGACCGATGAGCTTTGTAAAAATCGATGCGTTTCAGAAAGGCGGGGCATAGAGGAGAAACAATAATGTACAGTATGTGGAAAATAATGTGTGTTTTTTAACCTTAAACCGCATAAACACATTTCATTACACCAAATACACAAAATACTGTTCTTTTTAGCAACATCATATGACCCCCTTAAAGAAGCCCTGCATAACATGTGGACATGAAGATAAAATTATAAATCACAACCAAACATTGGGTACTTAGAAAGTGCGCAGCTAAGTAGCTAAACACTCCAAAAACAAATGTAAAATGTGAAAGGACAAACCTCTAAGAGCATGTTCTAGGAAATCTAATCTAATATTACATATTAAATATTATCATAATTTGAACTCTTGGTCAAAAACATTGCTCGCAAATAATGTATTACTGTGTTTATGTTAACGTCTAATAAGCGATGGTTAGGAATTAGCGATTAGAGTCCAATTATGGCGCTTTTCCACTGCATGGTACGGCACAGTACGGCTCGGTATGGTTAACTTTTGGGGGTTTTCCACTGGGTACAGTACCTGGTACTTTTTTTAGTACCACCTCAGTTGGGGTTCCAAGTGAACCGTACCGTTACCAAAACGTGACGTGTAAACTCTGCTGATCACGGATTGGCCGGAGAGAATCGTCACTACCTGCGTCACTGAACTTGCGACACAAACACAACCACTCTAAAGCGGTACTGAACTGCAGTGGAAACGCAAACCGTGCCGAGCCGAGCCGTGCCGTGCCGTACTGAGCCGTGCCCAGCAGAGTTGTACCACGCAGTGGAAAAGCGCCATTAGAGAAGTGTTACTCACTATAATGCCGAGTCATTGAGTTCGTACTCGTATCCTCGCGCCGCTGCCGACCGCACCCCCTGATCCGCCCACAAACAGCAGAGGGCGTGGCCTATGAACGGGAACAGCATCTGGTCTTCGTCGAAGCAACGGCCACACGAGAGAACGGAGTGAGCGTGGACCTGGAGAAACAACATAAACATAGACAAATACACCACTTGCACTTCCGACAAAGAGTTTAAAGAATTTTTCAAGAACGTTTCTAAATTTTAAGAATTTAAACTGTGCAGATTGTCTAACTGCTAAAACTTAACATGCTGTTAGCATGCTAAATAAAGCACTAGTGCTAAAAATATCAAAACTAGATTGCTCATTTACCTCATAATTAGTCAGTTTTTGGATGACTAGTCAACCCAGTGTGACCTAAACCTAGTTAGGGGTTGATTAAGGAAGTTAAGAAATTAAGGTTAGGGACTAGATAAGCATAAAACAATAACATTTAAACAACTAGAACAAAGATCTGCTGGTGTGACCCAATGACTAGCACTGTTATTAAAGAACAATTGGCCTGATCTGATTACAGTACAGTGTTCATCACATGACCTGATCAAGGCCACCCTACACCATGGTTATATTTCATAATCAAAGCAGACGACCCTCATTGTGCCGTTAGGTGCGTCCGGAAGAAGATAATGACTGTTTGAGGCAGAAGTCTGGAACACGCCGGAACCGAGGGAGGATTCTAATAGCACACGACTCAGTGACTGATATGTTGCTTTGGACTGAATGTTTGCATTCACATCCTTAGATCTGAAAACATGCCGCCACCTAGTGGAACTTGTACTGCAAACAGTAAAACCACAAGGCAATGTATCTTTGAAACAATAAAAATAATAAAAAAGAAATTATTTATATATTATTAATTATTATTATTA